TGCTGGGGGATTGAACCGCGGTCCCTGTGCTTTGCTAAGCTTGTTCTAAGTAGGTGCTTTAGACCACTGAGCCATCTCACCAGCCCCATGTTTTTGTTTTAATGTATTTGGTACAGTCTCACTACACAGATGAAACCCATAATGATCCTCCTGCTTTCAACCTCCCCAGCGCTGGGATTACAGGCATGTACCACCATAGCCAGTCTCAGTGGCCTGCTCAGCATGCCTGGGGACGGGGCCAGCGCTGCCCCTGCTGCCAAGGGTCAAACCCCCACCCCTGCGCTTGCCTAAGCAGGTGCTTAGTCCACTGAGCTATCTCGTCAGCCCTTTGGCTGGTACTATGAGGTGAGGTGCTGATCTATGGCTCATGAGTTGGGGTTTCTCATGGCATGGCAGTCAGAGGCCGGTTGGACATTCTACTGGGAAGCTCAGGGACCCAAGAATAGGAGAATCCCCTGAACATGCGGCTGAACGCCTCCCGTAACCCAGCCTACAAAGGCAGAGCTCCTTTCCTGTCAAACCCTAATGGCTGTAGGGAAGGGGACATAGAGCTGTCAGAAGTAGTGCCAGAGAGCTTGGAGCCATATTTTAAAACCTCTGTATAGGGGTTGGTGAGATGGCTCAGTGGTCCAAAGCACCTACTTAGAACAAGCTTAGCAAAGCACAGAGACCGCGGTTCAATCTCCCAGCACCACATGCCAGCCAGCCCCGCCCCCTGGTGGGCTGAGCTGGCCACACACACACACACACACACACTTAAAAATAAATAAATAAATAAATAAAACCTCTGCATAGTATATAGTGACATTAAAAAAAAAAAAACCTAGGTCATAGATTCTAATATGTAAAGCACATGAGAGGTTGTAAAGCTCTGCTGTAGTCAGAAGGTAGTTTTCTGTTTGTTTCTTTGTTTTTGGTGGTACTGGTGATTGAACGTAAGGCCTTGTGCATGTGAGATATGCCTTCTTTTCATTGAACTACATCCAAAGCCCGTTTTATTTTGAGATAGGTTCTGGCTAAGTTACTCAAGCTGGCCTCAAATTTAGTGATCTTCCTGGGTCAGCCTCCCCGTCAGCCAAGATACCAGACGTACACCAGTGTGCCGTCTCAGGATCATATCTTTTTGTTTGGCAGCACCGAGGATTGAATTCCAGACCTGGCACTTGCCAGGCAGGTGCTTATACCACTTAGCTGTATCCCTGGCCCTCAGGATCTATCCTTATTGGAATGTGAATGTTCAGATGGTAACAATTTTAGAGGATATAGCTCAGTGGCTTAAATGCCTGCCTGGCAAGCACAAAGCAGGCATCCTCAGTAATGCAAAAAATAATTTGGATGATGTCTTTTGTTTTGCACAGGATATAACAGGAGCTCACAAAATCACATACATATTTATTGATCATGGCCATATTTAGGGATGGCAAAAATGACAGTGAAAAAGGGATTTGCCTATTTGGCCAATTCCCAAACTGAATGCAAAGAACAGATTTTGGTAGAATACTAAGAGAAATTCTTTTTTTTTT